CACAGCCAAGGGGCAGCGAGAGCCTGCCTGCCTGCCTTCCCGTGTCTGGAGAGCGCCCTGCAGTTCAAGAAATGAGGTTGGGTACATGGACAGGAAGTCTGGGCTCAGGATCGCCCCTTTCCACTCTCCTTGCCCCGTCCCTCACCAAACCCCTGGCCTAAGCCAGCCTTGTCTGCAAGACTGGGAGAAAAAGAAATGCAACAGAGTGGGATTGCAAAGAAAAGGGGTGTTGCATTCTCTGCTTTGGGGCCACTTCACTCCCATAGAACAGAGGACTCCCAAGTTCGGAGCCCTCCATCTTCACAGCCCCCACTATTGGGCTATACTTGCCACAGCCTCGTCGCAGTTTGGGCCAGGCCCCAGGGACCAGTGAAGAAGGCCTGGAATGGCAGAATGGAGTATAGAGTCAACAGGACTGTAAGACTGAGTTCTATAGCCCTGGCTCTGCTGTCAGCCCCGCGCCTCATTTTGGACAAGTGACTCAACACCTTCAGCCTCAGCGTTCTCATCTGTAAAATCATTGCTTTGACTGCTGTGATCTGTGGGTTCCTTCCAGAGTCAGCACTCTGTGGCCAATACCCAGACAATTCCTGGGGACACACTAGGACCGCGCTAAGCCAAGTGGCCAGACAGGAAAAGCCACTTTGTCTCTCATAGTGATTTTCAGTAACTACTCTGGGTTTATATTTAAAAAAAAAAAAAAAAAGACATCATAACAGAAATCATGGAAAGAAATGGAACAGGAAACAAAAGTGGAGGAGCCTCGGGCTATGGGGGGTGGGGGGGGGGAGAAGCTTAGAATTGGCCTCCTTGTTTACTTGCTTATTTATTTTTGCAAGTATGTAATAAATCTTATTGTTTTGGAAAGCACATCCAGATGGCAATTTCAGGACTGTCTCTGGGGACTGCAACTTTTGGACCAACTGCAGCAAAAATGCAAAACAAAAACTCCAACAAAACCCCTCTGAGCTGCCTCCTGATCTCGCACCGAGTCCATTCTCCCACCCTCTTCACCTGTACTCGGTGTGGGACCCTCACCGGTACCTGAGTCTGTTTATGGCATTCTTCCAGTTTCTGGATGCAGCAGGCTTGGAGCGCGAGGATCCCTTCTCTGAAGAGCTATGTTCTACACATTAAATAGCCCCACGCTGCAAAGGCATTGCTCAGGTACAAAGCAAAAACTTTAGACAAAAATCACCTTCTTTTCCAGCTAGCCACCTCCCCCATCTCCCCCCCCCTTATTAAGGGGGGACCCAGGCTTCTGTTGGGAATCCCGCTCTCATGCCCTTTGCTGTAACCCTCGTGGTGACCTCTGCTCCTAGGTCATCCCAGGCCTCCCCCTGCAGCTGCAAGCCCACCTGCCTGCTCAAATCCAACCCAAGCCCCAGGCTAACTGCAGCTGCAGCGACTTAAAACTTGAGCCCTCAGGGAATGCCAGGAGGTAGGGGATGGGCGGGGGCAGGGGGAGCGGGAAGGAGGGATAAGAAGAGAGAAAAAAAGTATGGAAAGAAAACAAGCTCTCACTGTGGCCAACTGTCCTTACTCTTCCAGTCTGAGCTGACACAGCATAAAGAGGGGGTGGGGGGTAAGAAAAGTCAAGTTAAAAGCAACATCTCCTGTCTTCCCGACTCCCATTTTGGTTGGCTCAGGCTACAGCCAGACTCTCAAAGACTTGTTTCAAACGGAGGGGGTGCAGGGTGGGGGGTAAGGAATCTGGGTCCTTCGGTTTTCCATGATCTTGTTCAACCCAGACACAAATTTGGTCAATAAACCTAACTCTGGAACTTGACTTCAACACGGCATTTGAACCAGGCTTGAAGAGGAAGCCAGGGTGATGGAGGCCAAACCCCTCAAAGCAGCAAAGGTCGAATTTATTTTTATTTAGTTTTTTTTTTCTTTCCCAGAGCATACTTTCTGTCCTCTCTTATTTCTCAATGACAGAACTGAAACTGAAAACCCGTTTTCCCCTGTATCCCAAGCTTTATGTTCCACAGGCTCAGGAAAGATCTCCCAGACCCGGGCAAATATGTGGGCTGCCCTCCAGCCCAGAAAGCCACAGCGCTCCTTCTCCAAACAATGCCCAAGCAAAAGCCCAGTGCTTCCTTGACTCGACCCAGCTCACCGATCTTTATTGAGCCCGGCTCAATAAATAACTCCTGTCTCCCGCCTCCCTCCAGCCTCACACACACTGCCCTCTGTTTCTATATCTATCTTTGCCCCAGAACTGGCCAAAATAAAATGCAGGGCCCGCTGCGCTCCCAGCACCCAGTTCGCGGGCGGACTCGCTCGCCGGTTGCTCAGCAACGCGCCCAGCAAAACACCAGTCTCCGCCTGCCCGCCCTCGGCTCTTCCTCCCAGCAGCTTTGGCTGCCTGCCACCTCGCTCTCTCCTCAGCTCTCCATTTCGGATTCTAGAAATGCACTTTTTCTTTTGGTTAAAAAAAAAAAGATATGTATCTATATCTGTATCTTTCTTTACATACGCATATATCTTTTGATTTATGTGTGCGTATGTTATGTATATGCATATATCATCTATATCTGTATGGCAACCGCGGGAGGGAGAGGCAAATCCAAGTTCTCATTGCTGATTTGGGGAGGGGCACATAGTGACTGGGAACAAGATTTGTGGCCAAAGGAAACGACAATCTCCTCCCTCTCTCTCTGTTCATTTCCCTCTCTTTATGGACCGTCTCTGCTCCATCTACAACTTCTTGGGGACCCACTCAGCGGTTTTCGAGTTGAAAGGCGCTAGCCAGGAGCGCCCACTATCATACTATCGTCCGGAAGCAAGGAGTCAGCTCCTATAGCCATCGCGAAACTGAGGTGGGTCAAGCACCTGCCAAAGGCGGGGTGGAGTCGCAGAGAGTCTGGGGTGGGGCCTGGAGGGTGCTACGTGTTCGCCTAGAGGCACCTTGAAGGTGGGGGTTTAGGAATGGGCTGCAGAGAATTCTAAAGGGCATCTTGCTTGGGACAAAAGCCCGTGTGTGCGTGTGTGTGTGTGTGTGCGTGCGTGTGCGCGCGCAAGCGCGTGTGTGCGCGCGCGCATTAAGTTGAACTGGAAAGTTGGCTGATGGGTCAATTTGCTCTTCCAGCAATTGCGCGCGCCTGTGCGCGCGCCCCGCGCGCACAACCTTCACACCAATCGCATCACACCAACCACCCGGTTGGGCAAATAAAAGCGGGCCCAGAATGCGGCTGAGCGACACCCTGCATGCTTTCGATGTGACCGGATTTTTACCCAGAGCGCTCGCTTCCAAGCCAGGAAATCGATTCATACCTTTTCTTCCCCCGTGCTAAGATTTTCCAAATCCATATCCCCCAAGATGAAGGCGGCCAGGACCGCCTTGGAAAGTGGCTCTTAATAAAAATAACTTCACAAACCGGCCTCTAGGGCCTCCGGGGCCTGAGTGTAGCCCTGTTTCTTTTCACAGGCTGCAATCCGGAGAACCACGTCCTCTCGCAAAGTGGAGGGGCAGCCGCGGGCGACAGGCGAAACCTGCAAAGTTTTTGCGGATCCAGGATGAACCCAGGAAAGTTCTGCCGCTTCTCGGGAGCGGACTCCTTTCCTACATGATAGTGTCTGTAGTTTGCAGTTACGAAAACTCAGGTTGGGATGCCCTAATGGGCGAGATGGGAGGGAACGGCATTGCCTCAGTAAGAAACTACACAGAAAAAACATTGTTTAGCCAAGTCCTAACCCCTTTTGGAGAGAATAACCCGGTTGATGTTTCAGAACTCAGATTTTTGTGTCCAATTCACTGGACTGAAAAATATGTAAATCAGGTAAGTCCAAATCCCATCTGGCGGGGGGGGAGTGGGGGGAAGGGGAGGTAGAGCTGTTCTGATTGAACAAGTAACTCTGTCAACCTTTTAAACCCTAGACTCCAGACGCAGAGAATTTGGGGGCGGGGCAGACAGGGGGCGGGGCTACTTGGAGGCGGAGGGGAGGCTTCCTGAGCGCGGCTTTTCGGTCTCCGCCCATTTGATTTTGCATTCTCGGTTTCCAGGGCCCCTCTTGCATTTACACCACACCCACTTGCGATCCGATTTGAACCATTGGGGTGGGGGTGGGGGAAGATTAGCACTGGCGGGGTAGTTGTGATGTCTGAATTTTACAACACTTCTTGCCCCTCTATCCACCTTTCTTCCTAGGTAAAATCTGAATTTAGGCGGGGAAAAAGGAATTCGATTCAGGGACAAATACCCAGCACAGGAACCTAAACCCTTACCCATTCCTCCCTGCCCCCACCTCCCCACCGCCGCCGAGCGAGCTATTGTAATTTTTCCTTTCCCGGGATGAAAAAAGGTATTTCGCATCTTAATATGTTTTACCATCTACCACAAACAGTCAAACCAAGTCAAGGGCAATGGGTGTGCACGTGGGAGGGGCGTCAAAGCCCCCACCCTAAAGGCGTTAGCTTCCAAGCGTGCGAGCGTGTGTGAGCGAGCGAGTGTGTGCAGGGGTAGAGGATAGAAATGTCAGGACGGACTGGGGGGGGGGGGGAGCAGGGGCTGAGAGGGACAAAGGTGGAATTACCTCTCTCTCCAGGTCCCCAGTCAAAGCAGTATTTTAACAAAAGAGATTTTCAAGTTCAGAAAAAAAAAAAACCGTATTGCGTGGGGGGTGGGGTGGAGGTGGAGGAGGGAATCGATAATGTAACATGCACCCTCTCAGACTGGAGACTGAGTACCTGGGGGTTTGGACCGGGAGACTGAGTAGCAGCTCGGAGTCAGTATTCGGAAGAAAGGGGAGGGTGAAGAGGGTGGGGGTAGGGGCGAGGAGAAGGAGCGAAACCCGCGAGAGAGGCTCGGCTAGAAAGCAGCCCCTCGTAGCTGGATCCGCCAGGCTCCAATCCCAAGGTGCCCGGACCCTCCCCGCCCTCCTCCCGGGCTACACCCCGGCTCTCAGCCACTTGCTGGGCCACGCGCGCGGGGCCAGCCTGTCCCGTGTCCCCGGCCGTGCGCCGTGCAACTGACTGGCACACCGAGCGCGCTCACCGATCTTGGCTTGCTCGCGGTAGCTCTTTTCGTTGAGGCAAACCCCGCGGCCGTGCAGCAGGGCGTGCAGCGGCTTCTCCTCGTCCTGCCGGGGGAGGCAGCGCAGCCCCTGGGCGCAGCGCTCGGTGTAGACGCCGCACGACTGCCCCTCGGCCAGGGCGCAAGTCATGCAGCAACCGCAGCCCGGCTCTTTGACCAGCTCGCAGCCCAGGGGGCTGGGGGGGCACATGGAGAGGGCTTTCTCGTCGCAGGGCTCGCAGTGCACGAAGGAGCCCAGGCCCTGGGCCGGCCCCGCACAGGAGGCCAGCAGCAGGAGGACCGCGGTGAGCACCATCTTCTCCGTGTCTTCCCCTTTACCTTGGGGCGGGGCACGAGAGCGAGAGTGTAGGGAGAGAGGGACGAAAAGGGCGCCCGGGGAAATTAAAAAAAAATTTTTTTTTTCCTGGCAGGTAGCGCAGGTGCCCTCCCCCTAGACAACTGCAAAATGTAGGGAGAGATGGAGGGCTGAGGTGCCTGCAGTCAAGTCCCAAATGCAAGGATTAAAGGACTCGCAACAGGTTGTGGCGAGAAGAGCCGCGCCAGGTGCACGCGGAGGGAGTGGAGGTGGGAGAAACCAGCCCTCCCCCCCGCGCCGGGCCGGACCTGGTCAGAATTACAGGGAGGAAAAAGCCAAAAATTGTTCACCCCACAGCAACCACCGGAATAATGCGCTCGGAGGCTGTGGAGGCGAAGGGGGTGAGGGCAGAGGGAGAAAAATGGGTTTGTCCTCCAAAATTTTGTTTAAAATCTAAAGTACACCCTGCTCCTTTCTACCCTTCAGCTGCCTGCGGCGCGCGCGGCTGCCGCGGAACAGGTAAGAGGCGGCGGCTGTGGCCGCGAGGGTGGGGGAAAATGTTGAAATCAAGAAATTAAAAAAAAAAAAAGCCCCAAATCCAAATCCCTAACACCTCTTTGCTGCCACTCTGCCACCACCTCTTCGAAATTCGCAGGTTCCGCGTGAAGCTCGGAGAAGTGTGCAAACGGAGGAGGGGGTAATTAAAAGGAGCAAAAAAAAAAAAAAAAAAAAAAGGAGAAAAAACCCCACACCGGTTTGCAGCTCTTCCCTAGCTCTTTCCCCCGGCAGAAGTTTCCAAAGAGACTACGGGCTCCGGTGGAGCAAGCGCTTTTAAATAGACGGCCCCTGGCTGCCAGCCAGTTTGTAGCTGCTATTTGAGCTCCCCAACACCCAACCCAGGCGAAGATGCCAAGGAGCTTTGCAGTACAAACTCACACGGGGTGGGGGTGGGGAGAGGCCTTCTAGACACACGGGGGCTCCCCTGCGCTCCCGGAACAGTGCCCTCCTCCCCCCGGAATGTAAGAAAGGGGCATGCGGAACAGGGCTGGGCTGCCTACACGGGGAGGGTGGGGGGCGCGAGTGGAAGAGAGAATTCAAGGAGGTGGTGGACACAATGAAGAGTAACCCTGTCTCCCCCTCCCTCCCACCCCTTAACTAGCCAAGGCTCAGGCTGCAGGGAGAAGCGTGTTTTTTTTTTTTTTTTATTAGCCAAGCTGATATATACAGTGCCCAAGAAATTCTTCCCAAGCTTTGTGAAATGTCTGTGTGCTAGTGTTTAAGTTACTATGTGAGGGGTGTGTGTGTGTGTGTGTGTGTTTTATGGGGAGTGTTAGTGTAGGATGCCCAGCTGAGGGTAGTAAGCTGAATTAAAAAGAAAGAAAGAAAAATAAAAGAAAAACTGGATTTCCCCCCTAAAAGTCTGGGGAAGGGGATTTAATTAAGAACATTTCTCTTGCTGGTGGAGTGACTGTCTTTGGTCATATGATCAAGGGGAGGCCACTTTCCTTCAGCTCCATTGTTGGCCCAGGGAAGCTGTGTGTGTGTGCATGCACACATGCTTGTGGGTATCTGTGTTGTGTGTACGTGCAGGAAGAGACATTTATACCACAGCATTGTAGGGAGCAGTGAGTTACAGAGACTGGCACTTTCCAGAAGATGCTGTCTGAAAATCTTGCCTGGTGATCTAATGTGTCCTGATGTGGGGTTTTCAGATGGAAGAAGGCAGATTGGAGTGACACTTTCCCTCCACATTCTTTCACAGGGGGCATTTCTACTGGATAGGGCTGTGTCTCTGGAGGGGATGGGTGACAGACCAGAGGAACACCTTGTTATAAGGTTAACTGCCACACACAGGCACATCTGAGGACTGTGAGCTGACAGCCATAGGACCTGCTCCGAAGAAGTCCTGACCAGGAATATTATTATTCTGTCTGCAACCTCAGGCAATCTATTCAGACACTACTGGATCCCTTCTTTCCTTAGTAAAATGAAAGCAAGCAAAATTCTTCCAAGAAGAAAGGTGGTGATTTCAACTTTGCTTCTGAGATTGACATGGCTGGGCTGCAGACTTCCAAACCAGATCAGAGAGAAATGAACACCCGTCGTTGCTGCCCCATCTGAGAAGACGGTCTTGGGTCAGACTCATCCCTTTTACATTTCCTTCAGCTCTCTCCTAGTGCTCTCACTTTCCTTTGGAAAAGGGGCTGCATTTCATGAAGTTTGCCACTAGACTGCACCCTTATCTATGATAAGAATGCTTCCTGTAGGACTGCTCTTAAGAAAAGATTTCTTTTGCTGGTGCGGTTCAGGAACATCTTCCCTGTATGCGATTAACATTCCCAGATCCTGATCTTTCTTCCTTCTTATCTATTTGCTGAAAGGCACATTTTAAAACAAGGCTAAGGTTTAAAGTTGAGCTTTTGTTCGAATTGCGGGGAGGGGGCGGTGAGTGGGTGTAAGTATTAGCTGGGAGGAGGAGGAGCAGCTGTGTGTTACAGTTAAAAAAAAAAATCCCAAACAAACAAACAAAAATCCCTCAAACTACAAGACCTCTTTGCATTGTTTTTCCCCCTCTGTCTGGGGAGCTTGGGAAGGAAGGGGGAGAATTAACATTCAAAAATTTGGTTGAAACATTTGAGGAACCGAGGAGATCGTGTGTTATTTTCCCTTTTGTGTCAAGTTCAGACTAGAAGAGTGGCCCAGCAGTGTGGTGTGTGTTCTGACCCCTACTCCTGTGTCAGCACCAGCTCAGCGGCAAAGCTGCCTCTAAGCACACTGGTGGCATTTAAGATGAACGGGGAAATTGTGGCGCTCCCTCCTGAGAAGCATGAGCTACTGGTTCCAGCCACTCTCTATTCTGAGAGAGACAGCCTCTGGTGACACGTCTTTTTGTCTACCTGACTTCCAGTGGCTGGAAAAGAAAATGTGTGAGGATAGGTAGAAGGAAGAGGGGGATGATTCAGGGAGAGGACGAAAAGCCTGTTGGAGAGGAGGAGGAGGTGTTGGCTGGGCTGGTCTTCCGGGTAAGGCGCAGAGGGGCCATGGAGGGTGCATACATTGCCGCGCTGTAACCATTAAGTGACTATTCTGTGTCTCGGCTTCAAAAGAATTTAAGTTGCTCTCCTAGGAACTTAGGGTAGGCTTCTGAAGAGAGCACAGGAGAAAGAATTCTCAGGAGCCTGGGGCTGTCTATAGTGGTCAGGTCCAAAGACAGGGACTGGCCAGATGGGTTTGCTTCCATACTTACATATGACATACTTAGCATAGGACAGCAGAAGGGAAGGGCTGGTGCATGATGTTGGATTATGGGGCATGTCTATGAGCTTTTCTTGATTCTGTTACCCCTTCCCCTCCACTCTAAAGACCTAGATCTATTCACAATCACCTTTAGAAGATTGCTTCTAGAGCAAAAAATAAAAAATAAATAATCATTTGCATCAATGACTTTAGTTGAGAGAGGCTCATTTATTCCTGCCAGATGCAAATGTCAGAGGCCAGGTTTCCTTCTCTCCTTTATTGCTGACTTGCTTTCCCTGCCATCAGCTTCCCAACTCCGCTTCCCACCCTGGCATGTCCAAGTTTTGATGTCTTTCAACCACATTTTTCTTGGAGAAGAAGTTAAATATCATCCACTTTTGTCTTATCCCCTAGAGCTCACTCCTCCCCATTCCTTTAAAAGACTCACTGCATATCAACACCTAGCTCCAAGAAGTACAACATAGATTTATGTGTTTATATGGGCAGCTTTTCAAAGGGCACCTAGCATTTTTGTTTTGTAAAGCTTGAATCTTTTCCTCTGATCATTTTCTGTGACTTTCTAAGTGGTTTTCAAGGCTAGGGTGACAGCTGATAACATGGTTGGGAAAGCTGGACTTTTAATAGGACACAAAGTATCATTGGCTGGAAAAGAAAACTGTCAGCCGAGGGTCTTGTCTTCATTCTTCTGGATTACTCTCCTCACTGTCTTAGACTTGCCTAAACCATTCCCTACAGTTAGTAATTACTCTCTTTTAAAGATCCTATGAGATTGACACCAACCCCTTTTCCAGAGGCCAGCACACATCGGGCATAGTAGTCCTGCCACATCATCTTAGTCTAAAACTAAGGTATGGTGACCTTTAAGAAATAAAGTATCCAGATGCTCAGGTACCTCCCCAGATGAGGGAAGTTCAGCAAGACAGAGAGGTCTGTGCAGAACGGCTCAGGGCAGCTCTGTTGTAGTGATGGGGCCGAAGGCTAGGTGGCAGAATAGATACATCATTTCCCACACGTCTCCTCCCTGGAAGGGAACGCAGCAGACACTGGTGGAGGCTTTTAGCAAGGGGGACAGGGGCTGGGGGTACCAAAGGCACCGATGGAGAGCCCCAGCCACACCCAGTGGGTCCTCTGTATGTCGCCCGAGCCTGGGCACTGCCCCTTTGCCCTGACAGCGGGTGGGATGCCTTCCAGGTCCCACCAGCAGCTACATTCATGATCGCTGTACCCTGGAGACAGGTGCGGCCAGGTCAGAACTTGATTACTTTGGGTTCATCAAAGAATGCCCTAAAGCTTCTCTGCTGAATAATTAGAGCATGACCTTCCGCCAAAGTGCATACAAAAAAGTCCTCTAAATTTTTTTAATGTTAATTACTTTATATTTCAGCCATTCAAAGAGCAGAAGATAGTAAAACAGACCCTGTACTAACTAAGCACATTGAATTCATTACAGTTTTGCCTTCCTTGTTGGAGACTATTAAGAAGACACTGTTGCAGGAAACAGCTCACTGCCTGCTCCCGCCCCTGCCCCTTTTCTCTGCAGAGCTAGGCACTCCTCTGAAATAGCTTTGTATCCTTTTTGCACAGTGTTTTTCTAGGTTTTACTAGAAGTTTCTTACAGAACAGGATTAGGATGATTTTGAGGGTGAGGCCAGGAGCTCCTTGGAGTTAATTTTGCAGCCGTGCCTGCTCTGGTGACAATTTAACTACTGTCCACATTGACCCCAGGCTCCTTTTGATGCAATATAGAAGTTAATGGTTTTAAGAATTGATGTTTAGAAGGCTTCTGGAAGCATTCCAGAGAGATACAACAGAATAGTGATGGCTCCATACATCCAGTTTCTGGATCATGGGATCTGACATGTTTGTACAATGGGCAGCCCGAGAGCTGTGTTGGAATTTTGGAAAAATGAGATTAACCAGAAAAAGTGATCTGTTGTGATTTAAAACAAAAACAACAGTGTTGGTAGATTCAGATCTAGAAAGAAGAGGGGTGGGTGAGGGAGGGAAGATGGAATCAAATGGGACCAGAGGTCAGAGAGCCTGGTAACTGCTTGAAGCAGATGCATTTGAGCCCTGAAAAGGCCAAATAAAACTGCAGTGCATGGTTGGAATCTAGGTTTCTTTTCAATTCAAGGGAAAGAAACCGTAAGAGCTAGCTTACCACCACTACTAGCCTATAGGGCAAATTTATGTGATTTAGAGAAAGATACCCTTCCTCAGGATACATCTATTCGTGAGAAAGTTGCGTTAGAATGAGAAAATTTACTCCCCCTTCCAGGAAATTGTCATAATGAATGTACATATCTGTGATGTTTGATGTATGAACGGTGCCACTTAGACGGGGCTCTTATCGTGCAGCGCACAACCTACGAACAGTATGTGGTAGCCCTGGCTGGAAAAGTTGAGCCTGGTTTCCAAACCACCAGGAAACACTGTTTTTCTACTAGTGTGGAAAGGATTGGTCCAGTGACATGGTTTGATCCGTTACCAGAGTTGAGGAATGGGCCTGAAACCCTTCAAAACAGCTGGCCATGTTCTCAGTTGGGCCGGTCTACACCTTTG